CAACGACTCTCTCGGGCCTCAGGCCTTTCCCAGCACTGGCTTCCTGGGATTGAACCCAGCACCTTCTGCATGTAAATCGGGTGTTCTATCATTCAGCAGCTGCGGCCAGGTGTCCCATTTGGTGCGGTTGGGAAGCGCTCCTATTTCATCCGCTGGTATTTGGCACAGAGTTGCTTGATCACAAATCCTGTTCTTCTGCGGGCTCGGCCCATCGCTGCATGATCACACAGTGCAGATGGATGAGTTTGTTCATGGTTTTTGCCTGATTTTGCGCATGTGCATAAACAACGGTGCAGTTTTCCCCCACATGCGCTTTTCAGCTTCCAGGAATCGAGTTGCCGCTGTCACAGCTTGCCGATCCTTCCATGGAGCCCTGTGATCCCTGTGGTTCGCAGAGAGCCATGGTCGCCTAATGTAGATCACTCCCTTTCCCACTCATTTTCACAGCTGTCCTGGGGATGGGGATGATTATGCAGTTATGCACATATCGCTAAGTGGGGGGGGGATGGCGCCGAGTCAGAATGGACTGAGCAGTCTATCCAAATGGCCTGATTGTGCACTTGAGTGATCAGACTATGGAAAATCCATCTGTGGCCAATCAGCGAGTGTTAGGAGGAACAGACTTTTCCTGGTGTGTTTTAACTCTGTTTCTGTGGCGGGGCAACATGGGGTGCCGATGGCTCCGGGATCTTTCCCAGATGTTGCTGTCTGATCATGCACTATAAATCAATCAGGCATTTGCAGCTACATTGGATCTAAAGGCCTGTCTGACCGCAGCAAGTGGTGGCCCCTCCCTGTCAAAAAGACCCAGATGAAGTTGTCTTGTATAGGGTTGCCAAACCCCCCCGGTTTGCCAGGGGTCCCCTGTGTTTGGGGGGGGGGTTCTACCCGCCGCCGGCCAGAGCCACCCATCTCTCTCCCTTTAAGTGTGTGGAACCCACCCGTGTTTCCTCCCAAGCCTGATCGCTGCAAGCTTGCAGGGAAATGCCAGCTTCGTGCTCTTAAAAGGGAAACGCGGCTGCTCTTAAAGGGGAAACGCCGGCTCCTGCATTAAAAAGGGAAACGCCGGCTCCTTTAAGTGCAGGAAACTGCCATCTGGTGCATGGGTGGGTGGGGGGATGTCCCCATCATGACATCATCACGTCAGGGATGCCCTGCCCCCTCCAGGAACGCCCCCAAAGTCCCCCGCTGGGGGTGGAAGATGGACTTGGCAACCCTAGTCTTGTACCAGGTCAGACTGAGCCCATTTAGCTTGGTGCCAAAACATATACAGCAAAGTCCTCGACTTTGTTGAGGATGACACACGGATGTATATCAGACATGCAATAGGGCTGCGAACTGCCCTATGGAACTATTACTGGCTTGGTTGCAAACATTATGATTCTTCAGTAGCTACAGCTAGGGTTGCCAGCCTCCAGGTGGGGCCTGGAGATATCTTGGAATGGCAACTGACCTCCAGGCTACAGAGTTCAGTCCCCCTGGAGAAAATGGCTGTTTTGGAGGATGGACTCTGTGGCATCGTACCCTGCTGCGATTCCTGCCCCTCCCAAACCCTGCCCTCCCAACACTGGTTTGGCAACCTTAGGCTACACATAATTTTTGCAATGGCACTAGTGGCAGCACCATGGGGGGATACAGGTACCAAAAACGGTGCGGGGGGGGAGGCTGAAGTTGCTGTTTCCTGGGGCCTAGAATGAACCTAGGGCTTCTGTGTGGGAAGAAAGTCTTGCAAAAAGCTGCATCCAAAATCGGAGCTGCTGTTCCCGACTATTCTTCAGGGACAGCTGCGGTGAAGTGAAAACAGCTAGGAGTCTGGTGGCACTTGGAAGACTAACACATTGATTGTGACAGGGAATCTATAGAGCAAAGAAACAAGGGCAGGGATGAAGTCCACAAGGCCTGGCCCTGATCAATCTGTCAGTCTTGAAGGGGACACAAGAGTCATTGTATAAAAGTCTCTATCTCTAGCACCCTTTCTGTGTCTGTCTCTATAAAACAAGGTTTGAGTCCAGTGGCAGCTTTAAGACCAATGAAAGCTTATACCCAGAATTAAACGTTGTTGGTCTTAAAGGTGCCAGTAAGCAGTGTTTCCTCTAAGCTGAGTTAGTGTGAGCTAGCTCACCGTTATTTAGCCTCCAGCTCAGGAAGGATGGCTCCAGAGCAAACTAATTGATGCAGTCACCAAATTGCTCGCTCACAACTTTAATGCCGGTCGCTCACAAAGTAGGATTTCCGCTCACTCCAGGGAGCACTGGCTAGACTTCATTCTCTTGCTTCAGATCAACACAGCTGCCCACCTGAATCTATAAGTATACACAGGGGTCATTTCGTAGAAGAAGAGGTGCAGGAGCTCATTAGCATAACTTATTTGCATATGCCACACCCCCTGACATCACCGGAAGTGTGTCAGAAGGCAACACCCACCGCTCAGGCTCCACTGGGCTTGTTTGGATTGCTATCTATGGGGGGGGGGGGAATGTGCAGATCTGTCCCCGCAGAGGAGGGAGAGGTTGTACCTGAATAAAACTTGGTCTTAAAGGTGCCACTGGACTGTTTTGGGCTGGGGGGGGGGCTCTGCAGCTTACCTGGCTGCTTCTTGCTCTGACTGAGGGAGCAGGGGGTGGGGCTTGTTGCATGTGCCCACCCCCTGGGCTCTTTACTGCCGGAGCTCCGCTCCTGTGCACTCATGCAGGAAATGACCCCTGAGTATACATCTCCCACTGTACATAGGTAATATAAACAAGTGTCTCTTGGTCCTGACTGTTTCCCATTAAATTTCCCTTTTCGATGTTCATCAAAGACCATGACAGCATATAAAATAAAAAAGAAACCAGTGTATTTGAGAGACTAAGGGCCACAGTTCCCCATGGCATGAGCCTGAGTCAACTCATAGTCAGAGGTACAATCGGCATAACTCTCTTTCAAAGCACTCTGTCGCTCTGCATGGCTCCAAATGCTGCAGGGGTGTCTGGAGGCTCCCGCCCCACTCGGATTCTCAATCCCTGCTTGGGAAATACCTGGAGATTTGGAGGTGGAGCTTGGGGAAGGACTTCAGCAGGGCATAACGCCATACAGTCCACTCTCTAAAGCCGCAATTGTCTCCAGAGGAACCGACCTCTATCACCTGCAGATCAAATGTAATTCCAGGAGGTCTCCAGCCTCCCCCTGGCAGTTGGCAAGTCTACCTGTGGCCATGTCTGCGGGTGAAAACAGTACCGGAGGGAAGCCCTGACTGTTTGGAGCCATGTGGAACAACTAGGGTTGCCAGCCTCCAGGCAGGGCCTGGGGATCCCCCGCTTTTACAACTGATCTCCAGCTGTCAGAGATCAACTCCCCTGGAGAAGATGGCTGCTTTGAAGGGTGGACTCTATGGCACTGTACCATGCTGAGGCCCCTCCCCTCCCCAAACCCCGCCCTCTCCTGGATACACCTCCAAAGTCTCCAGGTATTTTCCAACCCAGACCTGGCAACCTGGGAACAACCCAACACTTTCAAGGTGAATTACACCAACCGTACACCTGACTGTGTCAGGCACCCGTGTCCCACATCACATAATGTGGAATGTGCATTTTGATCCTAAAAATAATCTACCAGCAACAGGCCCCGCCCTGGAGAATTTAAGGCTTCAATCCCAGCTGCTGAGGCCAAGCAAAGACCCCTGGCCCTTCCTTCCAGGACCTGCAAAGACCTCCGGCCCTTCCTTCCAGGACCTGCAGTCTCACCTCTGCCCTTGTGAGTATCTGGATCCTGGCAAGCGCTGGTGGCCGCACCACCAGTGAAACCCCCAGCATGGGCTGCAGAACTCTTGATGTCTGTGTCCTCACCCTGGTCGATCCCGTCACTTTCATCGCTCCTTTTGCTCCGCCGCTGCCCAGTCTGGTTTAATGCAGTTCTGACTATGGAGACAGCAAAACAAACACCTATCAAGGGCTTGAGGAAACAAGGATTTCTAATGGGAATATTGTCGCCGTCTCTGGCTGCAGCTGGCTGTGATGAGAACTGTGGGCAAAATGGTGAAGACTGTTGGAATTTCCAGGTGCGAGGTCCTTGCCTCAGGCTCCAGACTGCATGGCAAGAGAGACTAGATAGCTAGATAGGCAGACTGATCTCTCTTCCTGTGTTTACACTTCTGCCACTGTCCCCTTTGAAAAGTGCACTGTGTTCTCAGGGACAGTTTTCTTCCTTCCATTCAATCCCTCAGACGAAGCTCTCTCATTCACCCTGCACATACCGAGAGGGACGACATGCTGTCCTCTTTTGGAACCAGGAGGCAGATGGCCCTCTCGCCATCTGCTTCCATCCTTAGCTAGTAAGTTAGTACTCTGTCCTATCCCTACTCTTTCCTATCCAAAAGTGTACTTCTCAAATAAAGAGAGAAGAGAGAGAACTGTGTGCAATTCTGGTCACCACACCTTAAAAAGTATATTATAGCTTTAGAAAAAATGCAGAAAAGGGCAACTCGAATGATAAAAGGGCTGGAACACTTTCCCTATGAGGAAAGGTTAAAGCGCTTAGGGCTCTTTAGCTTAGAGAAATGACGACTGTGGGGTGACATGATTGAGGTTTGTAAGATTATGCATGGGATAGAGCAGGTAGAGAACTCGTGGGCACTCAATGAAATTGCTGAGTGGTCAGGTTAGAACGGATAAAAGGAAGTACTTCTTCACCCAAAGAGTGATTAACACGTGGAATTCACTGCCACAGGAAGTGGTGGCGGCTACAAACATGGCTTCAAAAGGGAATTAGATAAGCATATGGAGCAGAGGTCCATCAGTGGCTATTAGCCACAAGGTATAGATAGGACCTCTCAGGCTGGGGCAAGTGATGCTCTGTCTTCTTGGTGCTTGGGGGGGTCAACAGTGGGAGGGCTTCTAATGTCCTGGCTCCACTGGTGGACCTCCTGATGGCACCTGGTATATTTGGCCACCGTGTGGCAGTGTTGGACTGGATGGGCCTTTGGCCCGATCCAACATTGGCATCTCTTATGTTCTTATTTATCTGTTAAACTTGCAACATAAGAGTGTACAAGAGAAGGTCTGTGGGCATCTTTGCTGCCCTGAAAACACAGCTATATTTTAAGATCCTGTAGAAAGATCTGGAAAAAAGAAATTCTGCGGATTTCTGGTACGTCAGGGGGAAGTTGGCTATTGTGGTCACCTTTTGGCTAAAAGACATGACGTTACCAACAATCTTTACTTCCCTCTAGTCTCTGGAGGGTTTTTTGTTAACTCTTTTTACTGTATTTTCTCAAATGCTGTTTTTCCCCTATATATGCCATAAAAATAAGGGGTTGTCTTAAATTCACATGCAATTAACCAGTTATGTCCAATAATATATATCTTTTGAGACATCACATTTTTAGGGGAGATGTCTGACATTCAGGTCATTTGCTCTTTCAAGGAAATGCAATATTAAAGTGTTTGTGATTTTTCCCTAAATTAAATAATAAATATGTATATATATATTTTTAAGAACAAGGGGAGCGGCATGCCTGAGAACTTGGTTTGGTCCATATGGGTACATGTACAAGGCAAAATGTGAAGCTAGAACGACACTCTGTCTGAAGAACCAACTGTGTCCATTGTTAAAAATGCACTGATTTACCACATGCAGGGAACAGTTGCTTTTGCTGCAATTTTTTCATGGTGAGCACTTGGAAACGCAACTCCCAACTTATCTGTCTGAATTTTGCCATCTTGGTTTACCACCTAACCCTGCGTAAATTGTGTAGATTGGCTCTTTTAGGACAGATCGAACCCTGCGACCCCATGAGGTGGTAAAGTTGAACAACCAATGTGCAGTAGCACACAAGGCACTTAAAAAAAATGTCATGCTAGAATTCTCTTCCATGTGAAAAACAAAAGAGAACATCCCTTCATGCAGAAAATCAGGGAGAGAGTTTCTAGGTTAGCCCTCTCATTGCTGTGCTAGAGTTAGGGATGCCAGCCTTCAGGTGGGACCTGGGGGTCCCCTAGAATTACAACTTATCTCCAGACCACAGAAGGAGGAGGAGGAGGAGGAGGAGGAGAAGAAGAAGAAGAAGAAGAAGAAGAAGAAGAAGAAGAAGAAGAGGAGGAGGAGGAGGAGGAGGAGGAGGAGGAGGAGGAGGAGGAGATTGGACTTTATACCCCGCCCTTCACTACCCAAAGGAGTCTCAGTGTGGCTCACAAACTCCTTTCCCTTCCCCTCCCCACAACAGACACCCTTTGAGGCAGGTGGGGCTGAGAGAGCTCTGACAGAAACTGCTCTTTTTCAAGAACAGCTGTGCCAGAACTAGGTCATCCAGCAGCTGCAAGTGGAGGAGTGGGGAATCAAACCCGGTCCTCCCAGATTAGAGTCCGTGCACTTAACCGCTCTCACCAAACAGAGATCAGTTCCCCTGGAGAAAATGGGTGCTTTGGAGGGTGGGCTCCAGGGCATTGTACCCCACTGAGGTCCCTGCCCTCTACAGGCTCTACCCCAAAATCTCCAGGAGTTTCCCAACCTGAATCTGGCAACCCTAGACCTCATCCCCCATGAGTTGCCTGGGGGGGGGGGGACCTGAGAACCCTATTTCTGATTGGCAAGGAGTTTTTTGCAGTCATTGGAAAGCGCTCAGATATGTGTACTTTCCCCACACAATACTCTTGAGTGGTAAAATATGGAAACCCACCACCTCAAGGAAAGGGAACTCTTTGGCTGTACCGGAGAGGCAGAATGGATTTACCACTGCAAACACGAGTGGGCGATCTAAGTCCTGAATGTAGTGCTGCGTAAAGAAAATCTCATTGCTGCTAGCAGAGAAATAACACTCAAGGAGAAAGGTTTGAGCCCAGGCCTCCTGCTGCTTATGCTAGCTTTCTGTGCGCCAGGCAATACTGATGCAACGGAGCATCTGGAAATGCAGTCCTCCCCCTGCATTCTGAGGAGGGAGGGTGCATCCTATCACCTTCACACCTAGCTTTGCCACTTGTATAGCTCAGGCTTGTCAGAATCAAAGGGTGGGGGAAGGGAGAACAACAAAATCCACGGGGACAATCTGAGACCTAACATCTGTTCAAGACTTCAAATGGAAGTGGCATGCGGACTGCAAAAACGCAGTCTGGGCGGGTCACGAACGATTCAGACAACCCGTCAGCGGCAATCATTTCAGTGCAACCTGGGTAGATAGTCCAAAGCTTCCAGCCCCAAAGCCACTCCCTGCCCCTTGCTTAGACTTCCATACTGATGCTGGTGAGGTTGAGGAACGCCTTCTCTTGGAAATCCTTCGCAAGCAGAACGCAAAGCCCGTTCAGCTCTTCTGTGGCCTTGCGCAGCTGGCGCCGCTTCTGCTGGATGCACGCCTGCAGAGGGACCAGAAGTAGGAAAGGTGAGCAGCGGAGGCCACAGCTATGAACAACATGAGCCGGTCAAGGGCATCTGTCACAAGTGCAAATCCCTCGTGTTAAATAGCGGGTTCCGTGGATGAACAGACTCCCAGTCCAGTGATCTGCTCTATTATTTGTTTATTTATTTCATTAGATTTTTTTTTACCCCGCCCTCCCAGCAAAGCAGGCTCAGGGCGGCTTACAGCAATATAAAACAAGACAATAAATAATAAAAACCTGGTCAATACAACATTAAAACCATAGATATACAACTAATAAAGTGCTAGCACAAATCCCCCAAAGCACTGCCAGCACCTCTCCTTCCTGAGCAAAGACAAAAATCTGTGAGCCAGAGGCTAAAAAACTGTGAGCTAGCTCACACTAACTCAGCTTAGAGGGAACCCTGCTTAGGGACCCCGGGGGTGGGTGGGTGTCGGCCTTGCTCTCCAGAAGCTGTCAGATGTCAGTGGTGGTAGTGGAAGTCGTAGTGGTGGAAGAGCTCCATTTTACAGGCCCTACTTTATTCGGTGGTTTCAGCAAGAACAAGACTGTAGAGTGGAGCCTCAACTCGGTTATATTGCCTGCAATGGCCACACCTCTGCACACCCCACTCCCAACGATAGGCTATTTACAAAATTTTACATCTTAATTGGTTACTGCCGGAAGAATCCTGTTGGTCTATTGTTATTCGGCTCCAAGCTCACCCTGTCTCTGGCAGCACCATCCTACACCTTGATTGGTTACTGCCAGAATCCTGTTGGCCTATTGTTATTCGGCTCCAAGCTCAGCCTGTCTCTGGTAGCACCGTCCTGCGATGTTTCAGTCCCAATACACAACACCTTGTTTGCTGGATCCCTCAAAGCTGGAAAAGCTAGCAACTCACCAAAATCTGTTCTGGGCTTTGGGCTAAAGCGATACCAGGCTGGATCTTTTTCAGCTTCTGAATGTTTTCTGGCGAGAAGGCAAGGGAGAACAAATTAAACCAACCGATCAATCAGAAAGAACGAGGAAAGAATGCCAGAGGACAGCCAAAATGGACCCCACTCCCATAGAGTTGCCAACCTGAGATGAACAATTCATGGACATTTGGGGGTGGAGGAGCCTAGGGAGAGTGGGTGTTGGCGGGGAGGAACCTTAGTGGGATATAATGCCACCCTTCAAAGCCGCCATTTTCTCCAGGGGAACTGATTTCTGCAGTCTGAAGATCCGCTTTAATTCTGGGAGATCTTCAGGCCCACCTGGGGGTTGGCAACCCTACCCCTGGCAATTTCAGTCAGGTGGGGCAATCAGCCAATACAGTCTTTTAGAACAGGCATCTTTTGGTGCACTCGTGTGTTCATTCGTCTCTAGAGATCTACTTCCTCTGTATTTATTTATTGGCAATGGGTGTTGGGCAGTTGTTTCCAAAGGAGTCCGTCAGGGGTTTCTCATCGAAAAAGATCAGTGATGGCAGATGATGCCCCAACCCGCGGCTGGACCTCTCCCCTTCCTTCCTCCTGCAAGGTTTGGTTGCCAACCTCCAGGAGGCACCCGGAGATCTCCCAGTATTACAATTGATCTCCAGACCACTAAGATCAGTTCACCTAGAGAAAATGGCTGCTTTGGAGGATGGACTCTATGCTATTATGTTCTGCCCAGGTCCCTCCCCCCTTCCCAAACCTCACCCTCCCAGGCTCCACCCCACCCCCCATCTCCAGGTAGTTCTCAACCTTAGTAAGCCTAGTAATTGTGCTCATCTTGGGGGGAGAAGCAATTCCAAGCAGGCCTAGCCAATGCTGGCAGAGTAATTAACACAGCAACGGTGCACAACCTGACTAAAGAGTAGATAACGGTTTTAGGAATTAACATACTTGGTAGGAAAGAGGAGAGGCAGAGATGGATTCCTAACTACATCTCTAACTGAGAGAGAGGGGAGGACTGAGTGGCACTTCCAAGAAGAAGGGAGAAATCACCCTGAGAGTAGCAATCTGGAAACAGAGAAGGAATGACACTCAACAGGAGAGAGAAGGTGCTGTCTTCACTGTCCCATCTAATTGTTTTCTTGCTACCCCCTGCAGGGTCTTCTTCTCTTCGTCTTTGTACTCCGAGGAGACATTGCCTTTTCCAACAGCTGATACCCTGTGTGCTCTAGTCTACTCTAGGGCATACCCCAGAATCCTCTACAACACGCAAAAATCCCATGGCAGAAGCTCAGGGTTCCTCTGCAGGTACAAAACTCTGTTGGCCTCAAAGGTGCCACTGGACTCAAACTTTGTTCCACCTGAATAGAGTTGCCAGCCTCCAGGTGGGGTCTGGGGATCTCCTGCTTTTACAACTGCTCTCCAGGTAACAGAGATCAGCTCCCCTGGAGAAAATGGCTGCTTTGAAGGGTGGACTCTGTGACATTCTACCATGCTGAGGTAGGGTTCCCAAACGGCGGCGGGGGATCCGCGCGTGTTCGCAGGATCGCTGCCGCGGGGGACAGCAATCCGCGCTGCACCGGCGTCGCCAGGATGTGACGCTATGCGTCGCCCTGGCAACGGGGCTGTTTGGAGTCCCGTTGCCAGGGCGACGCATAGCGTCACATCCTGGCGACGCCGGTCCCCCTGCAGGGTCTTCTTCTCTTCGTCTTTGTACTCCGAGGAGACATTGCCTTTTCCAACAGCTGATACCCTGTGTGCTCTAGTCTACTCTAGGGCATACCCCAGAATCCTCTACAACACACAAAAATCCCATGGCAGATGCTCAGGGTTCCTCTGCAGGTACAAAACTTTGTTGGCCTCAAAGGTGCCACTGGACTCAAACTTTGTTCCACCTGAATAGAGTTGCCAGCCTCCAGGTGGGGTCTGGGGATCTCCTGCTTTTACAACTGCTCTCCAGGTAACAGAGATCAACTCCTCTGGAGAAAATGGCTGCTTAGAAGGCCTTGTACCCTGCTGAGCCCCCTCCCCTCCCCAAACCCCGCCCTCTCCCAGATCCACCTCCAAAGTCTCCAGGTATTTCCCAACCCAGACCTGGCAACCCTACACCTGAATGTATCTGCAAGCATGCATTCCATGCATGCAGAGGATTTGCATACCGGCGCTGAGTCACTGGAGCGTCTGGTTTGCCGGCCTTGAATTCCCAGACAGAGAAGAGACTGGGGAACCCCTGCAGATCTACACGTGACTCAGCGCTCGGCAGTCGTTGTGACGGAGCTGGGCAGTCATGCTATGAGGTGGCTTTGAAGATGCGGGAAGTGGCACTGTGGGGGGAGGGGTGCTTATCATCCGTTTCCTCCTGTGCAGCTTCCCCAGCATAGTCCCATCTTCCACAGCTGCAATGCCCTTTCATCGTTTCACACCCATTTCAGAGCATCGGGGTCAGTTGCCAGTTTGTTTTGAGGCTTAAGGGGCTTGCATTGACCTTTCAAGCTCTACACCGTCAGAGGCCCATATATCCAAAGGACCATCTCTCCCGCATCTACACCTCGCCGGAAAGTACGCTATTGTTGTACTATAGCAATGATTCACAATGTGTTTACACAGGATAATCCAGCAGGGAATGAACACTACAGCACAACAGTAGCAAAATAACTAGCTTTTATAGGGTTGTCAACTCTACTTTGGGAAATACCTGGAGATATGAGGGTTGGAGCTTGGGGAAGGCAGGGTTTGGGGTGGAGAGGGACCTCAGTAGAAGAAGAGAAGAGATTGGATTTATACCCCGCGCTTCACTCGGAGTCTCAGAGTGGCTTACAAACTCCTTCCCCTTCCCCTCCCCACAACAGACACCCTGTGAGGTAGGCGGGGCGGAGAGAGCTCTCCCAAGAACTGCCCTTGAGAGAACAGCTCTGACAGAACTATGGCTTGCCCAAGGCCATCCAGCCAGCTGCAAGTGGAGGAGTGGGGAATCACATCCGGTTCTCCCAGATTAGAGTCCACGCACTTAACCATTACACCAAACTGGAATAGGGTACAACGCCACAGGGTCCACCATCCAAAGTAGTCTTTTTTTCTAGGGGAACTGATCTTGTTAATTTGGAGATCCACTGTAATTCTTGGAGTTCTACCGGAGGTTGGCAAACCTATTCCAGCTAAGTCCACATACCAACTCTGATGCATCCAGTGACAATCGCTTTCTGGGCTCTCCTGTAGAGAGGTATGATATGTAGCAGTCTCTTTTAGGGCATTTCCAGTGGCTGCCAGGACTCTACCACCAGACGGGAGAGCGTGCGCTTCCCAGTCAGCTGGTGGGCCCCATGCTGGAGGAGGGCCTGCCCTGTTGCCATCTTTGCAGCTCTCCGGCTACGGGCTGTTATCCTGTTGCAGATTCTGGCTTTACTGTTATCATTCTGTTTCAACACCCTTTTGTAAACCATCTTAGGTCTACCATGGGGGGGTCTCAATATAGCCTCAGTGTGTTGATTTTGTGTGTGTGTGTGATTTGGCCATTGACAATGAACTCGTGGGCACTCAATGCAATTGCTGAGCAGTCAGGTTAGGATGGATAAAAGGAAGTTCTTCTTTACCCACAGAGTGATTCACACGCGGAATTCACTGCCACAGGAGGCGGTGGCGGCAACAGGCATGGACGGCTTCAAGAGGGAATCGGATAAACGTATAGAGCAGAGGTCCATCAGTGGCTATTAGCCACAAGGTATAGATAGGAACTCTCAGGTCGAATCTGCCTTTGCATTTTTAAATTAGTTTCATGCTGCTGTGATGCTGTCTTTCTCTATGCTTGTTTGAATGTTGTTTGGGGTCGAATCTGCATTTGCATTTTTTAATCAGTTTCATGCTGCTGTGATGCCGTCTTTCTCAATGCTTGTTTGAATGTTGTTTGGAGAAGATTGTTTTAAAGCAGTGTGGAGGTGCAATGACCATGGAGCGCCGCCCCGAAAGGACCATAAACATATGTGGGCGTGCAAAAGTACGCTAGCACTCTTGAGGTGTGAAAACGACAACAAATGTAGACAGCTTTTTTGAAGACGGAGTCAAAAGGGTGGGACACCGGTGGGAAAGACAAATGCAGGTTCAGCCTCAGTCTGGGGCAAGTGAGGCTCTGTCTTCTTGGTGCCTGGGGGGTCGGCAGTGGGAGGGCTTCTCTAGTGTCCTGGCCCCACTGCTGGACCTCCTGATGGCACCTGCTGTTTTTGGCCACTGTGTGACACAGAGTGTTGGACTAGATGGGCCACTGGCCTGATCCAGCATTGGCTTCTCTTTTGTTCTTATGTTCTTATGACAAGCCAAACCTATAACTGCTGTTGCAAAGACACAGGACACCAAAATAATAGGGTTGCTGGCTCTGGGCTGGGAAATAACTGGAGTTTTTGGGGGGTGGAGCTTGTGGAGGGGGGGGGTTGGGGAGAGGAGGGAACTCAGCCAGTGTCAGCTAGCTGCCATAGGAGACTGTGAGGCAGTTGGTCCCCCCCCCCTTCTCCCCTGGCATCTGCGCATGCCCTATCTTCCCTGTGTATGATCTTGTCTCATGCATTCCTGTCTGTAAATGCTAGGCAACGCTTATCTGCAAGGTTAACAGGTGTGTGGGGGAGCTGCTTTGCCAAATGTATAATGAACTGCACCGTGTGAAGCTGTAATTGTTTAGGTTTTGAGGAACGTTGCTTCTCAGGCTTTTGAGCGCGTAACCTGGAGTCTGCCCGCTCGACGGGAATGGAGATTATTGGTTATTACCCTGTTTGAATGTCTTACATTATTTCTTGCCCACCCTGGCCCAGGCATTCTGGACAGTGAACTTGTTCCTGCTCTATCATAGCTTTAATAAAATACTACTTTGCCTAAACGTGTATTGGATTAATAGCTGTGGGGGACCGGACAGCCGGGTACAATACCATAGAGTTTACCCTCCAGAGCAGCTGTTTTCTCCAGGGCAACTGCTCTCTATTGCCTGGAGATGAGTTGTAATAGCGGGAGAACTCAAGGCCCCACCTGGAGGATGCTAACCCTGCCAAAATATCAGACCAAGCTGGATTAGAGCAAGGTAGGCCCATCTATTCCAGCTTGCTGTCTCCAGCAGAGGGGAGTCCAGTTCCTCTGGGAACCCCACAAGCTGCAGTTCACGCCTGTAAAAAGGTAAAGGTTTCCCTTGCTGGAAAGCCAGTCGAGTCCCACTCTAGGGTTGCGGTGCTCATCTCCGTTTCCAAGCGGAAGAGCTAGCGCTGTCCGAAGACGTTTACGTGGTCATGTGGCTGGCATGACTAAACACCAAAGCGCACGGAATGCTGTGACCTCCCCACCGAAGTGGTACCTATTTATCTACTTGCAATTTCTTGCTTTCGAACTGCTAGGTTGGCAGGAGCTGGAACCAGAGACGGGAGCTCACTCCGTCATGCGGCATCCAGGTCTCGAACTGCTGAACTACCGACCTTCCACAGCCTGCAGTTCAGCGTCTTAACCACTTGAGCCACCGCAGCTCACGCCTGTACGTACCTCCTAAGCCGGCCTCCTCGCAGTGGATCTCATTCTGCAAGTAGCATTTATACAGCCTGCCGGAATCACCCAGCCCCAAAGATGAAGCCAGAATCCTTTTGTTTAAAGAGAGAGAGAGAGAAGGGGGGGGGGAGGAAGTTCTTAGCAAACGGAGGAGGACAGGGAGGCACACAAATCAACGAACCTAACAAGGATCGCCTTGGCACATCAACCAAAAATCTGCTGAGTTCAGCACGCTGTCGGCAAATGTGTCCAACCACAGATTCAGGTTGGACAAAAGGAAATATTTCTTTTTCCGATGAGTTATTGAAATGTGGGATTCGCTGCCAGAGGATGGAGTGATGGCCACAGATGCAGATGGCTTAAAAAGGGGATTGAACAGATTCGTGGAGGAGAGGTCTGTCAGTGGCTGTTAGCCATGGTGACTGAAGGGACTCTCCGTATTCTGAGGCAGCAAACCTCTGAATGCCAGTGCCAGGCCAGGCCAGGCCAGGCCACCTTGGCTTCTGTGCCCTACTGCAGGAACTCCAGAGAAACTGGTGGGCCACGATGTGAGACAGAACACTGGACTAGCTGGACCACTGGTCTAATCCAGCATGCCTCGTCTTATCTTCTTATGCCTGGGTGACTCACAATAATGGCACGGAAGAAGAAGAAGAAGAGGAAGAGATTGGATTTATACCCCGCCCTTCACTTGGAGTCTCAGAGCGGCTTGCAATCTCCTTTCCCTTCCCCTCCCCACAACAGACACCCTGTGAGGTGAGTGGGGCTGAGAGAACTCTGACACAAACTGCTCTTTTTCAAGGACAGCTGTGCCAGAGCTTGTGACTGACCCAAGGTCACATCAGCAGGTGCAAGTGGAGGAGTGGGGAATCAAACCCGGTTCTCCCAGATTAGAGTCCGCACACTTAACCACTACACCAAACTGGCTCTCAAGGAAACAGAACACCCCTGTTGTTTTGTTCCACACTGCCTCTGAACCAATGTTCCCTCTAAGCGGCGTTAGTGTGAGCTAGCTCACCGTTCTTTAGCCTCCGGCTCACACATTTTTGTCTCCGCTCAGGAAGTATGGGGCTCCAGAGCAAACTATGCAGCAGCCAAATCGCTCGCTCACAACGTTCATGCCAGCAGCTCACAAAGTTGGGTTTTTGCTCACAAGACTCCACAGCTTAGAGAGAGCGTCGCTCTGAACATGTCGCTTCTTTGACTGAGCTCTCACAGCTCATAACCGTCTCCAGACCGCTCCCCCCCCCCATGAACACGTCTCGTACGCCTGCACACCTGTGAAAGCACAAGCGGGCTTGGTAGACAAGCTATCTCGCCACAGCTCTCTGTAAGGATAGCACACAGGAAACCGGCTTCTCGTTGTGGTCAGCGTTTGGGGGGGCGCTGCTGACGCTGTGGTACATGTGCAAGCCACTCAGCGTCGAGCTGGTTACGTCCTCAGTGCTCCCAAAGCTAGGAACTCTGGGCGTTTCAGAGCTAGAAGATCTGTGAGTGGATCTTTTAAAAAGGTTAATAGCTGCTGCACACCCAGGCCCGTAGCTACAGTGCGGAATCTCGGGGCCTGCCCCCCCCCGACTTCCTGCCAATGCCCCCCCGACTTGCCATCCAGCCCAGCCCCCCCAACTTCCAGTTTTTTATTTTCTTTCTGGTGTTCCCTTGGGGGGGGGCAGGGTGCCCCTGACTTATTTAAGCCCCCCCCCCCGAATTAAAAAATCCTGGCCATGGGCCTGTGCGCAACACTCTGTTTCCATGGACTGGGGCCAGGGGTAGTGGTGGTGGTGGTAGAGAAGGGTTTTATGAGTCGGTGTGGTGTAGTGTAGTGGAAGGAACCAGAACAGGATCCAGGCGACCCCGTTTCAAATCCCCACACGGTTCCCAGGTTCCTTGGACCCATCACTCTTGGTCTCAGCCCAACCTACGGTAAAGGCTTGTTGAGAAGGTAAAACAGGGAAGAGAGAAGCATTCATGAGGCCCGGAGCTGCTTGGGGAGAGGCTCCAGAGCAAACTAATTTATGCAGTAGCCAAATCACCTGCTCACAACTTTAATGCCAGTAGCTCACAAAGTAGAATTTTTGCTCACAAGACTCCACGCCTTACAGGGAGCACTGCCTCAGACCCGTCACTCTTGGTCTCAGCCCAACCTACGGTAAAGGCTTGTTGAGAAGGTAAAACAGGGAAGAGAGAAGCATTCATGTGGCCCAGAGCTGCTTGGGGAGAGGGCAAGACAGAAGAGGAAAGGAACTAGCCCACCAGATTTAACCCTTCCACTGCTGCAGAGTTTTGCTCATTGTAACCTGCCTCCCCTGTGGTTATCGGGCCTGCAGAGTTAAAAAAAGACCAGCGCCCTCAGGCTGCCTCCTCATGTGGGCTTTTCTCCGGTTCCGGTTCTAGACTGGGTGGCTTTCCCACGTGGGGAGCAGTGCAGAGGCGTTTGCAGCAGCAGTGGACTCAGTCTCGACACTCAGGCTGATGCTCCAGTTTCTGCTCCTGTCATGTCTGCGCTCATCTTCATTTCTCTCATCTTCATTTCTGTTTTGCCATGGTTATTTTAAAAAAATAACACCAAAAGAGTAGTGGTTCTCAAAAGAAGGTTTTTAGAAAATATAAGGCCCCGGTCACACAGGCCAGATCACACAGAGGGGAGGCGTGGCTGTTTGCCCCGGAGCAAAATAAAGTGCGGTAGCCCGATCACACGGTCCCCCGAGTCTCCACGCTTCGGATGCCCACCCCTGCTGCGAGTTTTCCAGATACTAGTGCACTTTCCAAGGTACTTTTTAACTCCGCATCTTCAGCGGGATGCCACGGGTTGGCCACAGGTGTGCTATGCTTCCCAGATGTTGCGGTGTGATCACGCCCTGAAAATCCGCCTGACATTTGTGCCTTTTGTACGGCAAATTCTCCATGTGATCGGGGCCTAAGAGTAGTCGTATAGTTTCTTAGGCAAGTTTTGTTGTGATTATAATACTGCAATGGGATTTGTATTATCACATTGGTCTTATCTATCATATTGTTTTTGTTTGATATTTTAATTAATTTTTTTTAAGAGTAGTGGTTCTCTAATATCCTCAAAAGAAACCCCAGCAAAAACCCCCTGCAGCAGTGGCAGTGGAAATGGTGGTTCAAGGGAACAGGGAGGGGAAATGATGCCGGACGTGGGCAGAGAGGTCCAGAGATCTGCATTTTCCCATCCACATGTGGGCTCAGCTGGTTTGACTCTGATGTTTTCAGGAAAATCAGGTTTTGGGGAAATCAGAGGGGAAACTACAGGAGGCAATGGAAGGAGGAGGAGGAGGAAGTCATGTGGATGCTTGAAGGAATCCTGGTCAGTCTGACAGCTGAAGGGGAGCAGCCTGGGAGGAGGGTTGGGTTGCCAGGTCCCCTCTAGCCACCAATGGGGGATGGGAGGGGTTAGGGTTGCTGGATCCAGCTGGGGAAATTCCTGGAGATTTGGGGATGGAGCCTGGGGAGGCCAGGGACCTCAGTGGGGTACAATGCCACAGAGTCCACCCTCCAAAGCATCCATTTTCTCCTGGGGCGCTGACCTCTGTACTCTGGAGGTGAGCTGTAATTCCAGGGGATCCCCAGGTCCCACCTGGAGGCTGGCATCTCTAGAGTAGGGTTTTCTTTTGGAGCAGCCATGTGATTTTCAATTCTCACCAACATCCTAAAGGTAAAGGTTTCCCTTGCTCGAAAGCCAGTCAAATTCGACTCTAGGGGGTTGTCCTCATCTCCATTTCCAAGCCGAAGAACCAGCACTGTCCGAAGACATTTCTGTGGTCATGTGACTGGCATGACTGAACGCCAAGGTGCACGGAATGCGGTTACCTTCCCACCAAAGAGGTACCTATTTATACACTTGCAATCTCTTGCTTTCGAACTGCTAGGTCGGCAGGAGCTGGAACTAGAGAGGGGAGCTCACTCCGTCATGCGGGACTCGGGTCTCGAACTGCCAAGCTACAAACCTTCCGGTCTGCAGCTCAGCGTCTTAACCTCTGAGCCACCGCGGCATCCCACTGTAGCAGTAAACTACAGCAGTCTGTCAATTAACACTTTTACACCATTCCGCTATCACCAGAGTTTCACTATCATGATATGTCAATTCTGATTTGTTTGAAAGCCTGGGGAAAAAACCCTGATGACATGCCAGGCCCAGTTACAACAGCACCAGAGGCTGTGGCGGATGCACCCAAGGGGGGTTCTGTCACAACTGTGCGTTGGGCGAATAAAGAAAGACAAGCTTGGCAGTGGCCAGATTTGGGGTGGGCGGGGCTGCCCACCTTCCTCTAAGGGTGTGCAGACAAGCCTGAGGATAAGGAAGCAAATGGATAGGGCTGGATACATCTGGAGAGACTGCAAAGGAACACTTTGGGTTCGATGCATTTGGACCCAGGGGTCATTTCGTAGTCAAAGAGGTGCAGGAGCTCATTAGCATAACTCATTAGCATAATTTATTTGCATATGCCCCACCCCCTGGCATCACGGGAAGTGTGTCAGAAGGCAACACCCACCGCTCAGGCTCCACTGGACTGTTTTGGATTTCCAGCTATTGGGGGGGGGACGTGCAGATCTGTCCTCGCAGAGGAGGGAGAGCTTGTACCTGAATAAAACTTGGTCTTAAAGGTGCCACTGGACTGTTTTGGACCAGGGGGCCTGCGGGGGGCTCTGCAGCTTACCTGGCTGCTTCTTGCTCTAACTGAGGGCTGCTGGGAGCAGGGGGTGGGGCTTGTTGCGTGTGCCCGCCCCCTGGGCTCTTTACTGCCGGAGCTCCGCTCCTGTGCGCTCCTGCAGGAAATGACCCCTGTTTGGACCTAACGGCACAGTGGATGGCCACTGGACTGTTTTGGGCCGGGGGGGCGGGGGGGGCTCTGCAACTTACCTGGCTGCTTCTTGCTCTGACTAAGGGCTGCTGAGAGCAGGGGGTGGGGCTTGTTGCATGTGCCCGCCCCCTGGGCTCTTTACTGCCAGAGCTCCGCTCCTGTGCACTCCTGCAGGAAATGACCCCTGTTTGGACCTAACGGCACAGTGAATAACCCGTTTGTGGGAAGGGGAGTAAAATCCTGAGGTATGTGGCGGTGGAATGGAGGAGGACAAAGTGGAGAGGTTTTGTGACAGGCCCCTCGAGGGCATCTGGACCAGGAGGGCCCCCCCAAAAACCTACAGGCTTCCCAGTGTTATCTCCGCCTGGCTTCCCCACCCACTGTAGAGTTTCACCTTACCAGCTCTGTCGCCCATCTGAATGCTGAAGAACCTGGTGTCCAAAGTGAGGGCTGATGGGTGGCGAGACCCACCTCTGGCTGGTGTCAATGTTAAAGCTTCCCAGAGGCTTCACACCTGCAAGGGTGAGATTGCGATTAATCCCAGACAAGAGGAAGAAGCGGAAGCAGAGTTAGGGGGTGGGAACGGGTCTCCTATGGCAACCACGAGAGAAAATGATGGGTGCTCAACAGGAAGGACAAAGGGGAGTCACGCCGTTCAGGGTTGCAAACTCTGGCTCAAGAAGTTTCCAGAGATTTGGGGAAGGTGGGGTTCCCAGAGGGAGCTCGTCAGGTAAACGTATGGCAGCCATTTTGTGGCCGCACCCACCACAGTGTCAGAATTCCAAAGGTGCCTGGGGAGTAGGGTTGCCAGGTCTGGAAAATGCCTGGAGACTTTGGGGGTGGAGCCAGGAGAGGGCGGGGTTTGGGGAGGGGAGGGGCCCCAGCAGGGTACAATGCCACAGAGTCCACCCTCCAAAGCAGCCATTTTCTCCAGGGGAGCTCATCTCTGTTAACTGGAGGTCAGTTGTAAAAGTGGGAGATCTCCAGGTCCTCCCTGGAGGCTGGCAACCCTATTGGGGAGGGTGGGGTTTTGGCAGGGGAGGGGCTTCAGTGGTATAATGCCATAGAGGCCACCTTCCAAAGCCGTCATTTTCTTCAGGGGAACTGATCTCTGTCACCTGGAGACCAGCTGTAATTCCAGGAGATCTCCAGCCACCACCTGGAGGCTGGCAACTGCAATGAGGGCTCTGCTGTCTCAGTCTCCGGCATGTGTGAGCCAGGCCCCATCAGACTGACTTTTTGCAACCCAAGTAGAGTTGCCAGCTCCAGGTTGGGAAATTCCTGGAGATTTTGGTGGATGGAGCCTGGGGGGCGAAGGGAGGGACTTCAGTGCAGCATAATGCCATTTTTGCGCTAAGCGTGTGGGACTGTCCAAGTCAGACCCTTAAGACTTCCCAGCCTCCAGCCTCACCAGCTTTCCACTGCAGTTCTTGCTGTGAAGCCCCTTATAGTAACCACAATAACGCAGTCCAGTGGTACACTATGTACAAGGGATTATTCACAATATTCGCAAGCAAAGTGCTACGCCAGCCATCCAATACAGAGAAGGAGGATACATGGTAACTGTGCAATGACTTATATACAGAGTTCCACCAATCAGTGTCATGCTGAGTCACTGTGACTGCACACTGTCCAGTGCCAGTCTAAACCGGTTGGAACTTGCTCTGTCCATCCACCTGCTGACAGGTAGCTGTCAGCTTAGATCATAATGATCTGTCTACTGGAGATTAACATACAACAGCCATAGACGCCACACATCTCCCCTAGGGGAACAGAGGTCTCTTGCCTGGAGATCAGTTGTAATCCCAGGAGATCTCCAGCCACCCCCTGGAGGTTGTATCAAAACACAAACACTCCGTGAATAACTTACGAACAGAAGTAGAAAGAATATATTATCCCCAAGACAGTTTTAACAATAACAGTTCAACTATTTCCCCAATGCAAACACTCTTATAATTTTTTTAAAGGGTTAGGATCCAACAGTACTTAATGCAAAAGACAATTTCCAAATAAAGGTCCCTGCCACACCGGGGGGGGGGGGGGCGGG